AACATACAACTGAAACAGGTACAAAAATTGAAATGCCTTGGAAACCTGTTCATATCGGACTGGAACATGGACTGAGAAATTGAAACGTGGGTACAAAAGGTAAATTTAATGAGGTCATAGACCAACTAGATAGTGGTCATCCTCTCCCATCAAAACATCTTGATGAAGACAAATAGGAAAGAATACAATAAATCAATTTTCATACTCGCTACCAGTGCCAGGCCTGGACCCACCATAAAACACAGCAGAGTGGAATAACAGCCTGCGAAATGAAAGATCATAGAAAAACGTTAAACATCCCGAAAAGAGACTCATAAAGAATAAATGAATACATCGGACATTAAGTGACCATCGAATCTCGAATCGCACTCAACAACAAAATGATTAAGTGGTTTGAACACGTTCTGAGATTAGGGCCACAACAGCCAACATATGACCTTATGCAGTTTCGAGCGCCGTAAAACCCTCACTAAACAAACAAAATAAACAAAGATCTTCCCCTCACCCTGCCATCGTGTTGCTAGGCTCATCATGAGCCGACAACCTTTTATTCACCAAATCTCGAAGCCTGACAATCATTAAACAATAATTTTTTAAATGCCAAATGACCTAAATTTTTATCTTGGTATCAGCACTTTCATTTTAACCTTCAACTTCTGAACAAGGTTTGATTGTAAGTACATAATAAAAACGATGGAAAGTGGAGGCATCTGACGAGGCCCTTTGACATTCAGCGCCCCTACCACCCTAGTGGATTCTGGGATCAGTAGCGGTAACAGAAACAACATAATAAATCTACCATTCCTGCTCAATAATTTGTGTTAACAGTACTCATTTCTCACAAAACAGTTTGGGGGTATACATTAGGACACTGGAATTGGGCAAAAAAGGGGGGGGGGGAATATTATTCTTTAAGTGGTGGGATTAAATTATGTTCCGATCCTCCATGCAGCTGAAGTTATAATGTTATACATGTATAGGAAAGAATGAACAATAAAAACATATCTGCTTTTCTACACGTTTCTACTCTTCCCTTTTTGACCATAGAACGAGATAATGGAGTAAGGAAGAGAATGTGTAGGAGAGAGAGAGAAAGAGAGAGAGAGAGAAAGAGAGAGAGAGAGA